GCCGTAAGTTCTGCCATTCCTTACCTTACAGGTCTCTCTGCCTTCACCTTCCTGTGGCCGCCTCCCTGTCTGGCTTCTGTAAGCAAATTTCCCTTTTTAAAAAATAAGGACACCAGTCATATTCCTGGACTAAGGCCCACCTGAAAGACTATTTCCAAATAAGGTCACATGTTGAGATATGGGGGGTTAATACTTCAACCTGTGAATTTGGGGGAACACAATTTAATCCACAACAGCCATGTGTTAGTGGTGTGATGGAACAAGGCCTTAAGCCTCTCTGTTCCTCAGTTTCCTTATCTATAAAACTGGGATATAGTAGCACTTACATGATAGGGTTGTTGTAAGGGTAGATGGAGTTAATATTTGAGTATTTATTTATTTTTTTTATTTTTTTTATTTTTTTATTTTTTCTGGGTTTGAACCCACCACCTCTGGCATATGGGCCTGGTGCCCTACTCCTTTGAGCCACAGACACCACCCTGTTTATTTATTTTTAAGATAGAGTCTCACTCTGTCTCCAGAGAGCTAAGATTATAGGTGTGAGCCACCCTGCTGGGGGTCAAAGAATACTTAATACCCTTGCACTCTGGGAGGCTGAGGTGGGTGGATCACCTGACCTCAGGAATTTGAGACCCCTAAAATTAGAAAAACTAGTCAGGGGTTGTGGCAGGCACCTGTAGTCTCCGCTACTCAGAGACTGAGACAAGAGAATTTCTTGAGCCTAACAGTTTGAGGTTGCTTGAGCTATTATGATACCACGGCACTCTACCCAAGGCGAAAGAGTGAGACTGTCTCAACAAAACAAAAACAGTGGCTGATACAAGGGTGCTCTAAGTGTTCATAAGAGGTTCTGATGAGTGGCAGTGGACATCAATTGTGGGCCGGGGGCTCTCTGGTTTACAATGATTCTTTCAGTGGCCAGGCCTGAGGGTCCTCCCTACTTTGTGGGGGCACTTTGCTCTGTCCCTCTTTATGTGCAGAATTTAGGAGACTTTTCTGAGCCACTGAGCTCTGGAAGACACATTGTTAGGGCTCAGGAGGTTTGGGACGGGCAGGAGAGGAGTTCAGACGGGCGGATGTTCCACATGCAGGTTGAAGACAGACAGGGGCTCCGGGGGGCTCGGCTAGACTCCATTCTGGATTCTCTGAGGACGGTTGGTTATCCTTTGTAGCCACAGTACAGATTCGTTGGGCCAGTGGCTCAGAATGTCAAGTAAGCTTTTCTCTGAGTGCTTCTATAAATAGCTCAACCCAGCAAGGACCCCCGGGGAAGATTTTGAAAGCAGAAAGAAATGTAATGTTAAAACTCAAAGAATGTCGTAGGGAGGTATAGGAAACAGAGATGGGCCAGGTGAAAAGCATTAACCAGTTGGCCAAGAGCTGCCTTTTCCTGAACTGCTAAGTCTTTCTGGGAAGAATCAGGAAGATGAGCTCACGCTAAATACAGTTCCTCTCAGGGGAGGTTGGAAGATCGCAAAAGATCCGAGGCGCTTTCTTAAAAAGAAATCAGTAACTTCGAAGACACTCTGCAGGAGAAAACCAGATGCTTGGTGAGGCTGCATGTGGGGATGAACCTCCTTGTGCTTGGATGGAACTTTCCAGAAATATTAATCAGGCCAAGAGGACAGATCTCTGAGTTTAGATCAAACCCAGCCCCTGTGCCACTTCTCCTGGGAAGTGGACAGCCAGGTGCCAGAAGCATAGACAGGCTACAAAGTGAAGGTCATGTTGTCTCTGCAGGACCTTGTTGCTGGTCTTCGTGTAAGGCCAGACTGAGCTATTACAGGACGCAGATTTCTCTTTGCAATATAGAATGAACCCTAATGAAGGACAGTGCGCTTCCAAAATGTCAGCTGACTTCAATGGCTCCTGGCTACTACTAAACAAATGAAGTTCAAATTGCATAGTTTGGAATTCAGTGACCAGCACAAAGTGAAGAAAGAGCAGCAGACAGAAGAATGAATGGCCACTGGTGTTGACCCCAGATCGTTTGAAACTCTGCTCACATGTACAACTGACCTTGGGTATATCATCAAGCCTTTCCACAGCCACGGGGGTCATCAGAGCACCTTGCTTGTTGAGGCTGACGGTGAAATGAACTACTTACCACAATTTCCGGAACAGAGTAGATAGTCCTTATGTGACCCTGGTGTTAGCAGCAGCAGCCACTGTTGATGACATTAGCAAGGTGCCTCCAGCCCAACTTCTCTCTCTCTGTGGTCTGCCCACGCCCTGTGCTCCGGGCAGCAGACTGTGGACTAGTCTGTCTGCCTGCTGTGTCCCCATCCTCCAGGCGCTAGCTCTGTTCCTCCTCAGTTCTTCCTGTCCAAACTCTACCTGTCTTTCCATTTTAACTCAAGGGCTCCTTCTTATGTGCAGCGTTTGAGGGTAGGATTCATGTCAGAATTACTTTGTTTTTTTCCGTGTGAATGAAAACCCTTGATTAAAGCAGGTTTCAGAAAATGCTGACTGGATGAATGAATGACTGAAAACTTGCCACTGGGTTCAGTTGAAAGGCACTGATGGGAACATACGGTAAATAAATCACGGAGAACTGTGTGTTCTGAGGACTCCGAGATCTGATTTCACGCCAATGATGGGCTTGAAAGATGGGCTGGTCTCCGTGGGTTTCTTGTTGGTGAAGTGAGATGGGGAGGCCATCCACTTCTTTACAGTGTGACATCTAATGAGCTCAGGGAAGTGCTTGATCAACAGTCTCTGGAAGACCAATGTGCTCTTCAACTCTCAGTCCTGAATGAAAGGGACCTGATGATCTCTCCCTAGAACTTGGTTCTGAGCTCCCAACTGGAGCTTTCTGCAGTGTGGAAAACCAATCAAAGCTCCTCTAGGCCCACAGCTCCAAGGTCCACTG